AAACACAGGACTACCACGACATTCTAGTATATCCTGATAGTAGGGATGTAATATACATTAAACACAGGACTAACACTACATTCTAGTATATCCTGATAGTAGGGGTGTAATAGAACATTAAACACAGGACTACCTACATGCCTCCTTCCTCCCTGCTGCTGGGTTCTAGCCTGTGTGATACACTTTCATGCAGCCGGTTACCAGGAAGATTGGTGCCTGAGATATCCAGAGAGGTGAGGTATGACAAGTGTTGTAGAAGAGCTGTCATATTCTCCACAGCATTGGGGTATATCTTAGGCTCCTGGGAACTACTAGAGATGTCGAGGTATCTGAAACAACAAACTTAGACGTGTTCTATATCACAGACTTCATACTGAGTTGTCAGGACTTCACTGTCAGCTTCAGCTACAGGATACACTTACACAAAATATTATAATATTGATAAACTTGCTTCTGGAAAAATATCATTACCCTGGACCTTTTGGTTATACAGAACAAATCATTTAAAGATTTAAACAAATATTGATCACTGTGACCTTGAATATGGGCGAAGGTCATTCACTTGGTAGTCCTTCATCCCAGCATGTCAATGGCCAAATATCATCACCCTTGGCCTTTTGCTTATTAAGAAGAAGTCATTCAATGGTTTTAAACATATTTGACCCCTGTGACCTTAAAATATATATGTCAAGGTCATTCATTTGAACTTGGTAGTCCTTCATCCCAGCATGTTACTGGCATTATCCTAGGCCTCTTGGTTATTCAGAAGATGTTTAAAGGTTTAGAACATATTTGACCCTGTGACCTTGAAAATAGATGAAGGTCATTCATTTGAACAAACTTTATAGCCCTTCATCCCAGCATGCTACTAGCCAAATATCATCACCCTAGGCATATTGGTTATTAAGAAGAAGTTGTTTAATGTTTAAAACGTATTTGCCCTCTGTGACCTTGAATATAAGTCAAGGTCATTTATTTGAACAAACGTGGTAGCCCTTCATCCCAGCATATTACTGCCCAAATATCATCATCCTAGGCCTCTCGGTTATTCAGAAAAAGTTGTTTAAAGGTTTTAAACATATTTGACCCCTGTGACCTTGGATATAGGTCAAGGTCATTTATTTGAACAAACTTGGTAGCCCTTCATCCCAGCATGTTACTGGCCAAATATCATCACCCTAGGTCTCTCGGTTATTCAGAAGAAGTTGTTTAAAATATTTTAACATATTTGACCCCTGTGACCTTGAATATAAGGCAAGGTCATTTATTTGGACAAACTTGGAAGCCCTTCATCCAAGCATGTTACTGGCCAAATATCATCACCCTAGGTCTCTCGGTTATTCAGAAGAAGTTGTTTAAAATATTTTAACATATTTGACCCCTGTGACCTTGAATATAAGAAAAGGTCATTTATTTGAACAAACTTGGAAGCCCTTCATCCAAGCATGTTACTGGCCAAATATCATCATCCTAAGCCTCTTGGTCATTCAGAAGAAGTTGTTTAAAATTTTTAACATATTTGACCCCTGTGACCTTGAAAATTGATGAAGGTCATTTATTCTGAAAAATCTTGGTAGCCCTTCATCCAAGCATGCTTCTGGCCAAATATCATCACCCTAGGCCTTTTGGTTACTGAGAAGAAGTCGTTTAAAATGAAATATTGACGACGGACGACGGACGGACGACGGGCCACGGCATAAGCTCACTTTGCACTTCGTGCCAGGTGAGCTTATAATATTGATATACTTACAATATTAATATACTTACAATATTGATATACTTACACTTCAATATTATAATATTGATAACTTAGTTAAACAAGATAATAATCTATTACATCTTTGAATAAAAAGCTGACTCTTTCACATTAAATATATGTTAAAATCAATATTTGCTGATATTGGGTTTGCACAGATGATTGTTGTTTAAGAACCATTTTACAGTATGGTAACATTAAGACAGACTATAAAGATTTCAAAAGTTTGATCAAAACTACGGCAGTACAATAGTCTCAATAACACAATATTTATCCTTACTTTAATTTGGTAGCTTTTCCAAGTTTCACAAATCCTTCATGTATATCGTCAAAATGAATTCCTGACAAGACAAGGAATGTGATCTTTGGCAGAGCAACAATGCAGTCTAGATCCTGTTCTGTGATTCCACACCCGGTCAGATTTAGGTGACACAAGTTTTGGAGGGGCTCAATCAGGGAATTTAACATGGTGGGTGTTTCTGTAAATTCTCGGTGTTTAAAATTCTGAATACTTAGAAGGCGGATGTTTGCAATATTGCTTGATACTAGTGGTACCAAACTGTCTCTGGATTCGTGGTTCCTTGTAAGTTTATTCACACTTTCTGTGGTAGACATACTGCCACACCTCGGACAGTTGGGCTTAGCCCATAGCTTCAAAGCTCTCATAGAGTTCCTTAGTTTCTTGATCAGCTGAAATATCTCATAGCTGAAAACATCGCAGAAACTACAACATGTCAGTTCTAAGTGATTAAGAGGATGGCGGAACAGGGACTGTGAGCCTGGCTCAGAAAGGTCCAGCTGTTGTCGAATTACGACTTTTGTCAGCGGCGTTTTTTCTGTATCACTGAATACAGGTATTAGGTCCTGACATTGGGAGTTCCATGACTCGCTCACGTTTCGTGTCAGGTAGTTGAACAGATTATCACTGATGGTTGTGGGGAAATTCAAGCCAGGTCGTAACCTCTGAAATGAGCTATCCCAAGGTCCAGACTCCTCACCAGCTTGGATCAGGATAGTCATATTGTTCATGCAGTAACTGACACACATGTCCAGGAGAGTGTCCGGTCCATTCTCTTTCTCAAGTTCGTATGGCATCCCGGATGTCTACAGTTACAAGTTAGAAATTTTCTGAAATATAAATGGAGAGCACTTAAACAGTTACTATAATAGTGAATAACATATATGTAGCTATAGAGTTAATGTAGATAGAGAGTTAATATAGCTAGAGAGTAAATGTAGCTAGAGAGTTAATGTAGCTATAGAGTTAATATAGCTAGAGAGTTAATGTAGCTAGAGAGAGTTAATGTAGCTAGAGGGTTAATGTAGCTAGATAGTTAATGTAGCTAGAGAGATAATGTAGCTAGAGAGATAATGTAGCTAGAGAGATAATGTAGCTAAAGAGTTAATGTAGATAGAGAGTTAATGTAGCTATAGAGTTAATGTAGATAGAGAGTTTATGTAGCTATAGAGTTAATGTAGATAGATAGTTAATGTAGCTAGAGAGTTAATGTAGCTATAGTTAATGTAGCTATAGAGTTAATGTAGCTATAGAGTTAATGTAGCTATAGAGTTACTGTAGCTAGAGAGTTAATGTAGCTAGAGAGTTAATATAGCTAGGGAGTTAATGTAGCTAGAGAGTTAATGTAGCTAGAGAGTAAATGTAGCTATAGAGTTAATGTAGCTAGAAAGTTAGTGTAGGAGAGTTAATGTAGCTAGAGAGATAATGTAGATAGAGAGTTAATGTAGCTATAGAGTTAATGTAGGAGAGTTAATGTAGCTAGAGAGATAATGTAGATAGAGAGTTAAAGTAGCTATAGATTGAAAGTAGCTAGAGAGTTAATGTAGCTATAGAGTTAATGTAGCTATAGAGTTAATGTAGCTATAGAGTTAATGTAGCTAGAGAGTTAATGTAGCTAGAGAGTTTGTGTAGCTAGAGAGTTAATGTAGATAGAGAGTTAATGTAGCTAGAGAGTTAATGTAGATAGAGAGTTAATGTAGCTAGAGAGTTTGTGTAGCTAGAGAGTTAATGTAGCCATAGTTAATGTAGCTATAGAGTTAATGTAACTAGAGAGTTAATGTAGCTAGAGAGTTAATGTAGCTATAGAGTTAATGTAGCTATAGAGTTAATGTAGCTATAGTTAATGTAGCTATAGAGTTAATGTAGCTATAGAGTTAATGTAGATAGAGAGTTAATGTAGATAGAGAGTTAATGTAGCTAGGGAGTTAATTTCACATTGATTTATTTGTAGGATGTTTTTCAAACTCATAATTTTCAAAATATTGTTTCGTCCCATTACTAAGAGTGGATTCTCCAAATGTGGGCTAGTCACACAAGAAAAGCTTGAATCCATGACTAAAATATCTGTGACCCTAAAATCACTGATTTTACCAACATTTTATGTAATATACAGTCACAATATGCCATATTGAATAGTACCAATCAATATTCAAGCTAGTACAGACAAACTTCCATTAATCAAACTTTGAATATTCTTACTTCTTGATGCGTCGAACTAACGACAAATTCTGGATTTTCAATATGAATTAAACTTTCAGGAGTCAAGTTTCCCATTGTATAGAGTTTCAATCAAGGTCTGATCTTTAGGAAAACATTGAAAATAACAACTTATTAGTTGGACTAAAACATTAACCTGTACAAGAAGTGCTCATTGGAAAGTCTTTTGAAAGTTTTGGTCCATCCCTTTGGTCCCGGTGGGAGGGGGTTGTTCAGTCGCATCTCTTTCAATAATTCTGATCCCCATCTCAAACTCATGATAACCACCAAACTTCATGAAAATATGACAAATATTTATGGAAGAGAACTGAAAAGGTGATCGTTCAGGTTTTGCTTAAAGTGTCTTTTTATATACCAGTACCCCCCCACTGGAGTGTCAGCCCTTGTATATACCCCCAACACTGGAGTGTCAGCCCTTTTATATACCACCCCCCCCCCCCCCCCCCCCCCCC